TGCCGATTTGAGTGTCAACAATAACAGAGGTGAGCTTTAAAACATGTATAAAGATGTTGTTCCACTCCACTAAATGGGAATTTTAGAGGTACACCAAGGAATACATTTAACCATAGTGTAGGGCTAACTCACAGATCATGGTTTATACAGAAATTTCTGCTTTATAAACTTTGTTTAGGGTTTTTTTTGCAGCTAAGTTTATGAAAGACGTGATATGCAGTTTTGTTTCCTGTAATGTCCTTGTCAGATTTTGGTATCAGGGTTACGCTGGACTCAGAAAAGGAGCTGGCAAGTGTTGTCTCCTCCTGTATTCTCTTTAAAAGTTTGTGTAGAAAGCTTGGTATTGTTTCTTACATTTTTGTAGAACTCAACAGAAGTCTGCAGCCTAGATAAATTTTAGGGTGTGGGAAGATATTAAATTTTGTGTTCGATTTCAGTGATGTAGGACTATTCAGATTTTGTATTTCCTCTTACGTTCATTTCAGAAAGTTGTTTTTTTGTTTTTAAATGTTTTTTATTTGTTTCTGACAAAGAGAGAGAGAGCATGAGCAGGGGAGGGTAAGAGAGAGAGGGAGACAGAATCTGAAACAGGCTCCAGGCTCTGAGCTGTCAGCACAGAGCCGGACACGGGGCTCGAATCCACAAACCATGAGATCATGACTTGAGCAGAAGTCGGATGCTTAACCGATTGAACCACTAAGGCGCCCCCAGAAAGTTGTTTTAATGGAACATGTCCATTTCCCCTAAGTCGTTGAACTTACTGGCATAAAAGTTGTTCATGTATTTCCCTGTTATCCTTTTGATGCCTGTAGGATCTGAAGTGATGTCTTTTTTCCATTCCAAATACTGTTTGTGGTTTCTCTTATTTTCTTGATTAGCATTGCTTATCAACTTCCTTAGTCTTTTCAAAGAACCAACTATTGGATTTCTTGATCTTCTCCATTGCTTGCTTATATCTATTCCATTGACTTCTGTTCTTCTCTTTGTTTTCCTTCCTTCTACTCTCAGAGTTTAATTTTTTTATCATGGTATAAAAACATAAAATTTACCATCTTAACCATTTTTAAGTGTGCAGTTTGGTAGTGGTAAGTATATTCACATTGTGAAACAGACCTCCAGAACATTTTCATCTGGCAAATCTGAAACTCTATATCCATTAAATAGTAACCCCTCTTTCCCCCTTCTCTCAGTTTCTGGTAACCAGCATTCTACTTTCTGTGTCTATGAATTTGACTAGATACTTCATATGAGTGGAATCATACTATATTTATCTTTTTGTGTATGGCCTGTTTCACTTAGCATAGTGTCCTCAAGGCTCCTCTATGTTGTAAGGTATGACAGGATTTTATTCCTTTTTAAGACTGATTAATATTCCATTTATCTGTCTGTGAACATTTGGGTTGCTTCTACCTCTTGGATATTACGAATGAACACGAGTGCTCATATGTTCTATGGACATGAATATGGAAATACTTCTTTGAGACCCTCCTTTCAATTCTTTTGGATATATAGCCAGAAGTGGGATTGCTAGATCATGACAGTTCTAGTCTCAATTTTTTAAAGAACCTCCATACTGTTTTCCATAAGGGGCCTTGCCATTCTGTAATTCCACTGACAGTGCATAAAGGTTCCAATTTCTCCACATCCTCACCCATACTTATTATTATTATTATTGTTATTTTTAATAGTAGCCACCCTGGGGTGCCTAGGTGGCTCAGTCGGGGTTAAGGGTCGACTCTTGGTTTGAGCTCAGGTCATGACCACACTGTGAGCTTGAGCAGTGGGTTACATGCTGACAGTGTGAAGCCTGCTTGGGGTAATTTCTCTCCTCTCTCTCTCTCTGCCCTTCCCTTGCACACACACACTCTCTCAAAATAAACTTAAAAAATAGTAGCCATCCTAATGGATGTGAGATGCTATCACGTAGTTTTGATTTGCATTTCTCTGATTAGTGATGTTGAGCATCTTTTCATATGCTTATAGGGCATTTGTATATCGTCTTTGGAGAAATATTTGCTCAAGTCCTTTGCCCATTGTTTAATCGTGTTATTTGATTTTTTTTGTTATTGAGTTGTAGTCATTCTTCGTATATTCTAACATTAAGAATATATGTTTAATTGTAGGAGTAATTTATATAGTCTCAATACCTTATCAGCTGTATGATTTGCAAATATTTTCTCCCTTTCCATTGGTTTCCTTTGCATTCTGTTGTGTCTTTTGATGCATAAAAGTTTTTAAGTTTGATACAATCCCATTTGTCTATCTTTTATTTATTTATTTATTTATTTATTTATTTATTTCTAGGAGAGAGAGAGAGACAGCGTGAGCAGGGGAGGGTCAGAGAGAGAGGGAGTCACAGACCGAAACAGGCTCCAGGCTCTGAGCTGGCAGTCAGCACAGAGCCCCACGCGGGGCTCGAACCCACGCACCGCGAGATCATGACCTAAGCAAAAGTCGGACACTTAACCGACTAAGCCACCCAGGCGCCCCTCTCTATCTTTTGTTGCCAGTCCTATCCCTGTCATTTCTGTTGCTTTTGGTGTCATATTCAAGAAAACATTGCCAAGTCTAAAAGATTTTCCTCTGTTTTCTCCTAGGAGCTTTATAGTGTTAAGTCTTAAGCCCATTTTGAGTGAATTTCTCTATATGGTATAAGATAAGGGTCCAACTGTACTCATTTGTAAGTGGATATCCAGTTTTCCCAGCACCGTTTGTGGAAGAGACGGTCCTTTCTCCATTGAGTTGTCATGGCGTCTTTACTGAAGATAAAGCATCCCTGTGAGGGCTTAGTATTTTTTTGTTTTTCACTTTAGAGAAGTTTTAAGTTCACCACAAAGTTGAGAAGGAAGTATAGTTCCCATACCCCACCCTGCTCACCTCCACATTGCTCATATACTTTTACCCCCAGATGTGAACTTACATTACTGATTTTAAAACTCTTCTTTTCAAATATATGCATTTAAAGCTACAGACCTCTCTGTAAATACTTCATTCTGCTATGTTGTATGTTCATCTTCTTTTAGTTCAAACTATATTTTAAAAAAATGTTTAGTGTTTATTTTTGAGAGAGACAGAGCATGAGCGGGGGAGGGGCAGAGAGCGCGGGAGACAGAATCTGAAGCAGGTTCCAGGCTCTGAGCTGCCAGCCTGAGCTGGACATGGGACTTGAGACCATGAACTGTGAAATCATGACCTGAGCTTAAGTCGGGAGCTCAGCGGACTGACCCACTCAGACGCACCATAGTTCAAACTATTTTTAAGTTTCCACTGACGTCCTCTTTGACATAGAGTCTTAGAATTATGTTGTTTAGTTTCCCATGCTTGCGGATTTTTGATCTTTTTGTTATTTCTAGTTGAATTTTATTGTGGCTAGAGACCATACTCTAATTTTATGCTTGCTTTATGGCCCTGCCACACAAACTTGACTTTGTTATGATGGGATAATGATGGTGAGTTCAGATTTTTTTTTTTTTTTTTTTTGCTTGGTTATTTACAGGATACACTGTGGTGGTTCGACCCTGCTTTTAAAAACTAAAACAGCATCCCATTCAACTAGAGGGCCTCTAGGCTACACCACAGTGTCAGGATGCGGTTAAGACCAGAGTACCGGCGGGGGTGCCCTGGGTGGCTCAATCGGTTAAGTCTCATGACCTCACAGTTCTCACAGTTCGTGGGTTCAAGCCCCGCGTCAGGCTCTGTGCGGACAGCTCAGAGCCTGGAGCCTGTTTCAGATTCTGTGTCTGCCCCTCCCCTGTTCACACTCTCTCTGTCTCACTCTCAAAATTAAATAAGGATTAAAAAAAAAAAAAAGACCAGAGTACTGGCTAGCAGCATCACCTGTTTTGTTTTTTTTTAAATGTTTTATTTATTTCTGAGAGAGAAAGAGAGACAGTGTGAGCAGGGGAGGGTCAGAGAGAGAGAGGGAGACACAGAATCTGAAGCAGCCTCCAGGCTCTGAGCTAACCGTCAGCACAGAGCCCGACGCGGGGCTCGAACCCACAAACCATGTGATCATGACCTGGGCTGAAGTCGGACGCTCAACCGACTGAGCCACCCAGGTGCCCCAGCATCACGTTTTAGGAAGGCTTCCCCCCACCTCACCGACCGGCTGGGCTGCAGGGCCTAGGGGAAGCGGGGCTAGATCGCCAGCTATCCGTGTGCTTTACAAAGCAACGGTTGTAGCACCCTCACATTTTTTCTACTGATCGGCCCTTCAGGGGCTGCAAATCTAACAAGTTCTTAAAACCCAGAAAGTCTCAGGGAGAGGGAGCTGGGTAGAGTTCCAGAAAGATGGAAACATGCATAATCCCTAGATTACGAGAGCACGTACCTTGCGAGGCCTAGGGAAGCAGGGCCTAGGGTAACAGCGCCCCTACGCCTCGGGGGCCCAGTCACCCACACAGGGAAACAAAACCTCCCTTCCGTCCTCCTTTTCCAGTTACTCCACAGTAACTTACACAGAAAAGAGGAACTGGGCGTGGCAAAGCCCATCAGCCGACCGCCCCTCACGTGACGGAAGAAAAGGAGAGGAGGGCCTGAGGTGCCTGCGTTCGCCCAGGCTCCTCCTACTTTACGGCACTCAGTGGCCCCGCCTCCTCAGCCGTAGGGTGGAGCACGAGGCCCCGCCCCCAAACTGCCAGTCCTCGAGGGCCTGGCTGGCCAGTGGGGCGGGGCAAGAGCTGGGAGGGGACCTGAGCAGGGGAGAGGGAAAGGAAGGGAGGGGTCACGTGCGGCCAGCGGCTCCAGGTCACGTGACTGGCGCTGGGGCGGAGGGAATCTGGACTGGGAGTTCTCCTGAGGGAAGCGGGGTGAAGTGGGGGGGACGCGGCGGCGGCACTGACAATGGTGAGTGCACGGCGGCCGGCGCGCTCGCCTCCGGTCCTGGCCCTACAGCGCGCGGCGGGCGGGCCAACGGCGGGCCGGGTCCCGCGGGTGGGGCGGAGGGGAGCGGCAGGACGCGGGCGGCGAGCAGGGCGGGGAGCCGGGTTAGGCCTGTCTGGCCACCGCGGGATCGGGGAAGGGCGGGCGGGGCCGCCTCTTCCCGGTTTCGCAGAGGCCCGAGCACCTGCGGGCGGCTGCGCGCTCTCCTGGCCATGTCGGAGCCTCTGCCCGCCTTCCTGGACCGGCTGTGGGGGCCCTGGCTGGGGACTCGGACCCCGCCTCTGCGGGGGCTCAGCGCCGCCTCCCCTTCCAAGGTAGCCAGTCCCTCCGCGCCTTCCGGACAGCCTGGCTTCCCTTCAGGTGGAGTGACCCGGGAGTCCCCCAGTTCCGGGCTGGTGGGGGTGGAGGGTACTGGGTCACTCTCAGGGTGTCACGAGCTTGATAAACTCCGTTTTTGTGTGTGTGTGTGTGTTTCTTTTTAATCTCGATGTGGTGACATTCTTCGATGTCCTGACCCCAGTTCAGCCTTGATGTTGACACTTGTAGAATGGGGGAGAAAAAGGAAAGGGCGTTGAAGTGTGATGATTTTAATTCAAGACACTGGTTTTGTGGTGGCTAGTTTAAGCTTTGGCTCTCATTTCCTTTCCTTCCCCAAGCCATTTTCTAGAAACTTAACGCTTCGGGATGTTGAAATGGCCTAGGGAACACAGAAGGGAGGGAAGTCAGAGTACTTTAACCAGTTAGTGGGAAGCACAGGCATTTAACTTTGTGTGTGTTGGCCATCTCTAGATTGGATCTCATTCGGCTCACTTTATGGTGTTCGTTCATTTAGTAAGTGTAAGTTGAGCGCCTACTGTGTGCTCTCCTGATACTATTAGCTTTCCCAGAGCTCACTGGTTCAGTAAACTGCTTGAGAGTTTTGGCTGAAGAAGCAGCTAGCTTTGTTTAAAAAATATTAAAAAAAATTGTTTTGAATAAATACATTTTAAACTCAGAAGTTGTGTTGATTTAACTAAAATCAGAAAAGTAAAGACAGACATATTCATTCTTCAACTGGGGGCCCTTTTTTTTTTTTCAAGCAACAAATAATTACTTAGGCTGGCCAGGGGCCACGAGCAAGACTGAAACAGGCCTTGGTCTCTTGTAGCTTACAGTCTAGAGGGAGGAAAACATCCATTTGTGTTAATTATTTAATGTGGAAATTACAGTTGTGATAAATCTAAAAAGGAGACCTTGTCTAGTCAGGGAGTTTGGGAGGTCTTCTTTAATTGAATATAATTTGCCAAGAAGATCTAAAAGGCCCTCCTATTTTTTGCTTATTTTTAAAATTATTACTTTTGATAAACTTTTGAATAGATTAAGAGCAATTTATTTTCAATTTACTCATCAAACATAAACTAATCTGTAAAGCTTTATAACACTGAGATGGACCTAAATATAATCTATGCAAGAAAATTTGCTGTTTCATTGCTTGTGTAAATTTTGAGAGCCTCCCTATCTACTCACCTTGAGTTGCATTTCTTTACATCCACTGGAAGTAGTGAAAGGCTAAAAAGTTTGTTGACTTTTAACATATTCACATGTAATTTTGCTGGGTGCTAATGCTCAATATGGGTTTATGAATTATATGGAAAATCTTAAATTCACCTAAAGGTGATAGGAGGCCTAGGCCACAATTAGAACACTGTAAAAACAATGCTGTAATCTTTTAATAGTCATGTATATTGCAGGTTAGCTGTTTGAAGGCTACCAAAGAGTTTGGACTTGTATATTATTGTCTAATATTGCTCCTGAAAATCTCATTCTAAATGCTCGCTTGAAGATATCTTCGCCAGGAGAACTGAGTGGTTTTTCACTTTAAAACATCTCTTCTGTAATTTCAGCAAAAGTCTATGTTAATGTATACTAACCTTCTTTACAGTTTTCATTCCCTTTCCACCTCCTAGTCTTCCCCATCCTGTCAGTTATGTATTTTGATTTCTTTACATATCAGGAGAATTATTAAAATTTAATGTGAATAATTTTAAAAAGATCTTAATTTTATGACTTTTTGTTAGAAATGACAGAAGATGCGTACCTTGTGATAAAAACTTCAAAAGCAAGACTTGGGTAGACCAATCTTTTTTCTTTCAAACTCCTTTTAGAAGGAAAATAAAGGGGCGCCTGGTTGGCTCAGTCACTTAAGCATCTGACTTCAGCTCAGGTCATGATCTCAAGGTTCGTGGGTTTGAGGCTCCCAGCCCTCCAGTGGGCTCTGTACCAACAGCCTGGAGCCTGCTTTGGATTCTGTCTCTCCCTCTCTTTCTCTGCCCTTCCCTCACTCGTGCTTTGTCTTTCTCAAAAATACATAAACAAAAAATAATAGTAAAAGAAGAAAAAGAAAAAGACAAACTTTTTCCTCAGCTATTTTTTCTCTCTGCTGTCTACTTGTTTATTGTAAGACATTGACAATTTTCTGGAGGCCTTTGATAAGACTAGTTTGTTTTTGATGTGTCCTCGTGTAAAAAACTGGATGTTAACCTGGTGCTAAATTCTCACGGTGTTGTTCACTTAATCTTGCTAAAGTATTACAGTTTATTACTCAGTCTGTTATCCTTCTGCGTTTGCTATAACTAGGCTTTAAAAAAAAAATCTAATCTGTCCTCATCTTAGTGTTTTGATTATGCTGAAAAAGTAAGTTTACTTTTTAAATTTTTAGTTATGAAACACTTAATGGGTACAGAGGATACAGAGATGCATATAGAGGATAACGTGTAGCTTTCACATTTTTAGTGTGTTGGAATTTTTAATTTTTACCTATCATGTCAAAATAAGACTTACTGATTAATTATATTTAGCTAATTGTGAAGTTTTACAAGACCAGCGAGTGTGAGCAGGGGAGGGGCAGAGAGAGAGGGAGAGAGAGAATCCCTAGCAGGCTGGACACTCTCAGTGTAGAGCCCCATACAGGCTCAATCTCACGAACTGCAAGATCATGACCTGAACTGAAATCAAGAGTCGGTCGCCTAGCATAACTGATTGAGCCACCCAGGCACCCCTCTTTGACACCATTTTAATTAGTGGCAATTTTGATTGTTATTTTGATCTTTCAGTGTCAGCTTTCAAATCCTAAGTTCATCTCTGTGTGTTAAATATCCATATGTGGGAAAAGTTACCATAATATTTGCTTTTATTTGTAAAAGAATTTTTGTAGTTTTCAAATCTCATTTTTCCTGGAAGCAGCCCTGGTAAATATTAAAGGGGAATGAGAAAATTGAATTTTATTTTCCTGCTTCTTTTTTTATCTTAAATGAGGTTGTTGTCTTCTACCCTTTCAAAATTGCTCCTCCCACCCCCCTCACCCCCTTCCTGCCACCGTGGCTGGCTCAGTAGTTTGCACGTAGTTGATAATTAGTAAATATCAGCAGACTGATTTTGAGCTGCTGTACATTGTCATATCTGTAGCCCTTAGGAGAACATAGACCATTTTGAGCAAGTTGTAAATTTAAAACTGGGGAGTATGAATGCTAACTAGGAAGGGACAGTGCATGTGACCTATCATTGATGTTTTTCATTCTAAGTTCAGAATTGTTTTCTTTTTTTTTAAATATTTTTATTTATTTCTAGGAGAGAGAGAGACAGTGTGAGCAGGGGAGGGTCAGAGAGAGAGAGGGAGATACAGACTCTGAAATAGGCTCCAGGCTCTGAGCTGGCAGTCAGCACAGAGCCCGACGCGGGGCCCGAACCCACGAACCGCGAGATCATGACCTAAGCGAAAGTCGGACGCTTAACCAGCTAAGCCACCCAGGCGCCCCTCAGAATTGTTTTCTGATTAAAATTAGTTTTTTGGGTTAAAATGGACTTTGTTATTTGTAATGGTGCCAGGAAAGATTAAAACATTGTTGAAAGGAAAAAATACTGTTTATGCTTTTATAGTATGTCAAAAATAGAAATCTGGCAATTCTTTGAGTGGATTTCTTGAAATTACCATCTTTTTTAAACATGCCCATTTGGTTTTATTTAAGTTTATTTATTTTGAGAGAGAGAGAGAGCGAGAGAGAGCACAAGTGGGATGGGGCAGAGAGAGAGGGGAGAGAGAGAATCCCAAGCAGGCTCTGCACTATAGTTTTGAGCTGGATGTGGAACTTGAACTCACAAACTGAGATCATGATCTGAGTGGAAACCAGAGTCAGACACTTTACTGACTGAGCCACCAGGCACCCTGAAATCACAGTCTTTTTGTTAATATAGGATTAATAAAAACAAGCAAGCTCAGAATTTAGGAAAACACCGTCTTCTTTGATCATGGTATCACCATGCATTTTAAGAGAATTATTAGCTTGCTTGCTGTTACTCTGCCACCTGAGGACAGAACTGAGGCTTGATGGAAGTTCCTTGCTCTAGACTTAGCTACTGCACCAATGCTAACTTTTTGGGGGAGGGCTAGTTTGACCAAGTATTCCAGATTTAACTCCTTTCTTTTGTATCTATTTTTTTTTTTAATTTTAAAAAATGTTTTTATTTTTGAGAGAGAGGGAGACACAGAATCTGAAGACAGGCTTCAGGCTCTGAGCTAGCTGTCAGCACAGAGCCCGACGCAGGGCTTGAACCCACGAACTGTGAGATCATGACCTGAGCTGAAGTTGGACGCTTAACCGACTGAGCCATCCAGGCACTCCTTGTATCTATTTTTTATTATCAGGACAGTATGTGTTTTTAATTTTGTTTATTTTTAATTTTTTTTAAGTTTTTAAAAAACTTTATTTTTGAGAGAGGGAAGGCAGAGAGAGAGAGAGAGAGAAGATCTGAAGCAGGCTTTGTGCTGTCAGCATAGAGCCCAGAGTGGGGCTCAGATTCACACACTGTGAGACCATGACCTGAGCCAAAGTTGGACACTCAACTTACTGAGCCACCCAGGATCCCCAGGACAAGATGTGTTTTATTCAATATTAATTTAACATTCAGTATATATTTGAATGCTTTCTACTAAATGCCACATACTACCGCTAGCTACTGTGTCTTCAGTGATGAGCAAAGGATAAGGTATCTGTCCTCATGGAGTGTACAGTTCAGTCAGGGAGTCAGGCATTGAATAAGCACACAGTATAATAAATGATGAAGTAAAACTATGTGGTGTTGGGAGGCCTAAATTTGGAGACTCTAGTTTCTATTAGGAAGGAAAGGAAGGCCTCTTTATGGAAATGAGTCAGACTGAGACTCAGAGGATGAATTAGTTAGGTAAAGGATACTTGGTCTAGGATGAGAAGGAAACTGGCAAATTTGATTAACCTGGATAATTTGAGGCTGGAGTAGTTGGAGATATGGGTAGAGCCAGATACATGTAGGCCACGTTAGGGAATACAGTGTGTGTGTGTGTGTGTGTGTGTGTGTGTAACAGTGAAGTACAGAAAAGTGTACAAAAACAGCTTGATGTATTTTCACAAAGTGAATGAACCTGTGTATGAAGTGCTCAGATAAAAAAACACAGCATAACTAGCACTCTAGAAGCTCCCTCTGTGCTCTCTTCTAACCACTTCCTGATTTCTAATACTAAAGTGTATGTTACATGTTTTTGGCTTTTCAATAAATAGAATCATATTGCGTGTGTATTCTTTTTGTGTCTGGCCTCGAAATTTCAATATTAGTGTGTGAGTCATCCTTGTGTATAGTTGTGTCTTATTCCTTTGCCTGTTGTATGAATAATAGACTAAAACTTATGTACCCATTCTCTTGATGATGGATATTTGAATTGTTTCCTATTTAGAGATATTATGAACCATGATACTATTAACATTCTTACATTTGTTGCCTTGTTCATGTGTAAGAGTTTCTCTTTAAGGTAGATATCTAGGGGCATAATTGCTGGGTCATGGGATATATATTTTTTTAGCTTTATCAGATAATGCCACCTGTTTTCTAAAGTAGTTGTTTCAGTTTGTATTCTGACCAGCCTGTTGAAGGATTTTAAACAGAATATGGTCAGGTTTATGTTTTTAAGAGATTACTGTGGTTGTGTAAGGCAGACTAAGAAGGGATATAGATTGACAGGAGATGGTTCTTCATGTAAATTTTATTACTATTTTTTTAATGTTTTTTTTTTTTTTTTATTTCTAGGAGAGAGAGAGAGAGACAGTGTGAGCAGGGGAGGGTCAGAGAGAGAGGGAGTCACAGACTCTGAAACAGGCTCCAGGCTCTGAGCTGGCAGTCAGCACAGAGCCCGATGCGGGGCTCGAACCCACGAACCGCAAGATCATGACCTAAGCAAAAGTCGGATGCTTAACCGACTAAGCCATCCAGGCGCCCCTTATTATTTTTTATTTTAGAGAGAGGCAGAGAGGCAGAGGAAGAGGGGGAGAGAGAATTTTAAGCAGGCCCTATCCCCAGAACAGAGCCTGATACGAGGTTCATCCCACAATTTTGGGATCACGACGTGAGCTGAAATCAAGAGTTGGATGCTCAACCGACTGAGCTATTCAGGCGCCCCACTCCATGTACATTTTAAAAAAGAGTAGAAGACTGGCTTTCTTTCATGACAAAAATAATCCTCGGCTATATCTGGTACTGGAACTGCTAATGGAGTGTATATTATTACCAACTAATGTGTTGTGGAATTCATAAGCAATTGAACTTTGTCCCTTATATTTCTGTCATACTCAGGATTTACAGAACAAGGCTTATACATTTTTTTTTATTTAATGTTCATTTATTTTTGAGAGAGAGAGAGACAGAGTGTGAACTGAGGAGGGGCAGAGAAAAAGAGAGAGGGAGACACAGAATCTGAAGCAGGCTCCAGACTCAGCTGTTAGCACAGAGCCCAATGTAGGGCTCGAACCCACCAGCAGCGAGATCATGACCTGAGCTGAAGTCAGATGCTTAACCAACTGAGCAGTGGAGATGCCCCAGCTTATACATTTTCTTTGGAAAAATCCACAGAAATTTAATCAGTCTCTTTCACTAGAGTCAGTTTTATTTATTCCAAGAGCTTACACAGTGCAACACATCCTATTCAGACCCATAGAGCAGTATATTTTACAGTAAGTAGTACATTGTAATAATTCATTTGGATTTATACACTTATTTGGGTTGTATGAGTCCTGCTGTGTGAAAGAGCCACACAGAAGAATAAAGGTGGCTTTCAAATCCAGATATTAAGAACTAATTTTTTAGGGGTGCCTGGGTGGTATAGTCTGTTGAGTGTCTGTCTCCTGATTTTTGCTCAGCTAATGATCTCACAGTTTGTATGTTTGAAACCCACATTGGGCTCCATGCTAACAGCATGGAACCTGCTTAGGATTCTCTCTGCCCCTCCTCTGTGTGCTCTCTCTCAAATAAGTAAACTTTTATTTATTTTATTTTTTATTTTTTTAAATGTTTTATTTATTTCTAGGAGAGATAGAGACAACGTGAGCAGAGGAGGGTCAGAGAGAGAGGGAGTCACAGACCGAAACAGGCTCCAGGCTCTGAGCTGGCAGTCAGCACAGAGCCCGATGCGGGGCTCGAACCCACGAACCGCGAGATCATGACCTAAGTGACAGTCGGACGCTTAACCAACTAAGCCACCCAGGCGCCCCTCAAATAATTAAACTTTTAAAAAAATATTTCTTTTAGATTCTGGTATATGTTAGTAATTGATTATTTATAGTGGTTAACTATGGCAATGATTGAAATTATAGCATGTTTAAATTTTAGCTTTCTTTTTGTCTTTTAAGAAATTGTGGTAAAAAACATACAATATAAATTTGTCCTCTTAACAGATTTTAATGTATAGTACAATATTAGCTGTATGTGCATTGTTATACTAAATTTGTTTTTTTTTTTTTCTAGGATTTTATTTTTAAGTGATCTCTATATGCAATGTGGGGCCCAAGCTTACAACCTCAAAATCAAGAGTTGCACGGTCTTCCAACTGACCCAGCTAGGGCACTCCTAAATTTTTTTAGTTTTGATATGGAATTTAAGTTCTTATTTCCTTGTTGTACTTGCAGGTTTGAAGTCTGTTTAACTGTAGGTCATAGGTAATTTATATTTGAATTACAAAATGTACTGTCTAACAACACATAATTATGAGCATTTTCCTTTCATTTCAGAGTTTTCTTGGAGGCTTTTTTGGACCCATTTGTGAGATCGATGTTATCCTTAATGATGGGGAAACCAGGAAAATGGCCGAGATGAAAACTGAGGATGGCAAAGTAGAAAAACACTATCTTTTCTATGATGGAGAATCTGTTTCAGGAAAGGTAAATCTTTTGTTTGGGAGAACTACCTAGTTGTAGGAGATTAGAATTCATCATCAAAGTTGTCTGTGCTGTTTCTAAATTTGAGTGATTTTGTTAGAGATGGACGGTTGTTTTGGAAGGTCAGTTAAAATCCTTGATTCCATTAGAGTATTTACAGGAAAAATCCTTTTTTATCTTTTTAAGTTTACTTATTTATTTTGAGAGAGAGAGAATGGGGGGAGGGGTAGAGAAAGGGAGAGAGAGAATCCCAAGCAGGCTCCACACTATTAGTGCTGAGCCTGACTTGGAGCTCAAGCTCACGAAACTGTGAGTTCATGACCTGAGCTGAAGTCAAGAGTCAGACACTTAACTGACTGAGCCACCTAGGCTCCCATACGAGGAAAGATTCTTAAACTGGTAGGATTATAGGGGCAGAGTCTAAAATTGTATGCAGAATTTTATGTTTGTGACTATGCATCTGTTTTGCTTTAGTTTCTTCAGTGGGGCTGTGATCCACTCAAAAGTTTGTTTCTCCTTACTTTAAGTTGAGTTGTAGAGATTGGGAATAATTCTTTAGTACACCTTTCTAAAAATTTCTTTCTCATTCTTTCTAGCTTATCTCTCTGCACTACTACCGTTATGTCTGTTGATCTCATTTCTTGGTGCTCTGTAGAGGATTTAATGTACATTTGGAATGTATCTATGCATAGTCAGATACATGTATGATACCTTCTGTAAGGTTTCACTTTTCCCCCTTTTCCTTATCAAGCAATGTAGAAGAATAATCTTACACTTTAGAGAATATGATTGATACCCATAGATCATAATTTTTGTTTAAGTCTAGAAGGGAACGTTTATTGTCTGGTTTAACGTAATTCTGTGTCATCTGTGCCAATTAGTTCATGGCTGATGTTTATAGGACAAATAAAGGAAGAGGGGCATATTTAAGGTAATAAAGCTACTTACGTGTGGTTTTTAAAAACCAGTGGGCCCTCAAATTATATTTTTAGAATTGCTAGAGATCATATGTAGACCTAATCAATAACTATAGATTACATTTTTAAAAATGATAAACCTTTTATAGATAAATGTTTTCTGTTGCTCAAAAGGTATTGTATCTGGAATCTGATTATTTATTGACCTGAGATTTTTCACTTTTAACCTTTTTATTGTAAAATAAAACACAGAAAACCACAAAACAAATAATGATAAGGTATATTTTCTTGTCATTACCATCGAAGTCAAAAAGGAGAACTTTACCAGTTGCTCCTATGTCCCATCTCAGTCGGTCGTAGTCTCTTCTCAAAAGAAGCGAGCCGCCATGCTGCCTTTTATAATAATAAAGTTCCTTGTGTTTCTTAATTGTTTAGTCCTATTCTTTAAAAAAGACTGATATAGCTTTTAAATCTCCTTCAATCTCTGGTTCCCTTTTCATGCCTGTTTTTTCTTTATATTTTGAAGAGCTTGGGACCCTTGAACTGCAGAGTTCTCTGTGATTGGATACTCATGATAGAGTTATTGCCTATAAATTGGTAGCTGGATCTAGAGACTTGATCAGACACAAGTTCAATTCTATTGTCAAGAGTATATGTGGTAGTGGTTTTGGGTGTGTGTGTGTGGCGGGGTACATGATGTTTGGTTTTCTCTTTTTATCTACTTTGCAAATGTAACTGCTGTTAATACTGATTCCTGGCATACCTTTAGAATAGGTTATTAAATGGTTGATTTATGAGTATTTTTTTTAAGAAGTTGGAGAGATTTTTCTTTTTAAAAATTTTTTTTTATTGTCTATTTATTTTTGAGACAGAAAGAGACAGAGCATGAGTGGGAGAGGGGCAGAGAGAGAGGGAGACACAGAATCCGAAACAGGCTCCAGGCTCTGAGCTGTCAGCACAGAGCCTGACGCGGGGCTTGAACCCACGAACCATGAGATCTGACCTGAGCCGAAGTCGGACGCTTAACTGACTGAGCCGCCCAGGTGCCCCTGATTTATGAGTATTTTGAAAAGAAAACTCAAAAAGAAGAAAACAAACATGGATTATCTGTGACCTAGCATGTTCACTAAGAACAAATCTAGGCTTTCTGAAATATCTGAATATAATAAAAAAGATTGTTGGGTTAGAGTTGGAAGATCTAGCCTTGACTTTAACAGTCTTTGTAGGTAATTCTGGGCAGTCATTTAACTTTATAGATTTCATCTTAAAATTAAGGACACTGGGCTGAATAATTGGTTTCCAGACTTGGCTTTACATTGTAGGGTCTCTGCATAAAAATCCTTCCTACATTAGATGTAATTTTGAAGTTCTAAGAGGTCTGACATCCCATCCAAAGCAAGAATAAATTCCTTTTATGGTATTCCTGACATGTGAATTTCTGTCTGCATACTTTTTTTTTTCCCCAGATCTTTTTTTTTTAAGAATTATTTTTTTAAAGCAGTTTTAGATTTACAGGAAAATTCAGGGGGAAGTACAGATATTTCCTGTATAGCTCTTGCCCCAATACATGTATAGCCTCTCTCATCAACATCACTCACCAGAGTGGCCTCATTTTTACCAAGGACAGGCCTACATTGACACATCATAATCACTCAAAGTCCATAGTTTACCTGAGGGTTCACTCTTAGTGTTGTTGTTTTGTGGGTTTGGACAAATGTTTAATGGCATATATCCATCATTATAATATCATACACTGTAGTTTCATTGCCTGAAAAATACTTTCTTTGTTCTACCTAGTCATCTCCCCTGCCCTGCCCCCCAATTGTTCTGCCTGTTCATCTTCTCCGTCCTGCCCCCTAAACCACTGACCTTTTTATTATCTCCATAGTTTTGCTTTTTGCAGAATGTCATGTCGTTGGAATCAAACAGTATCTAGCCTTTTCAGATTGGCTTCTTTAACTTCATAATATGCAAATTCACCTGTTCTAGTTCTTTTTTTTTTAAATGTTTTGTTTATTTTTGAGAGAACATGAGGGAGGGAGGGACAGGGGGTGCGGGACAGATGATTCAGAGTGGTCTATGCACTGAGCAAGCCCGATGTGGGGCGCAAACTCAAAAACTGCAAGATTATGACCTGAACTGAAGTCAGACATTCAACTGACTGAGCCATCCAGGCGCCCCTCTAGTTATTCCTTAAAGGTGAGCATACAAAATTTGTCCTTTCGTGTCAGCCTTATTTCTTTTAGCACAATGTTTGCAAGGTTTGTTCATGTAGCATGTATCAAAACATCATTTTTTATGGTTAGCTAATATTCCAATATATATCCATGTAGAATATGGAGGGATATACCACATTTCCTTTATCTAGTTCATTAATTGAGGACATTTGGGTTTCTCCTTTTTGGCTATTATGAATAATGCTGTACATTTGTGTACAAGTTTTTGTGTGAATATATGTTTTCATTTCTCTTGGGTGTACATACGTAGGAGTAGAATTGCTTAGTCAGTTTTTGGAGGAACTGCCAATCTTTTCCAAAGCAATCTTTCCAGCAGTGTATGAGGGTTCAGTTTCTTTACTTTTTTGGCATACTTAATATTGTCTGTATTTTTTATTGTGGCCATCATAGTGGGTTTGAAGTGGTATCTCATCATGGTTTTGGTTTGCATTTCCTTAATCGCTAATACTGAACATCTTTTCATGTGCTTATTGCCATTTGTATAGCTTTGGAGAAAAGTCTGTTCATATCCTTTGACTGCTTTTTACTGGATTGTCTTTTTATTGAGTTACAGGATTCTTTTTATATGCTTGATACAAGTCCATTGTCAGTTATGTTTCACAAATATTTTCTCCTGTTCTCTGAATTGTATTCACTTTTTTTTTTTTTTTAAGTTTATTTATTTTGAGAGAGAGAACGGGTGCTCAGTTGGTTAAGTTTCCAGTTTCGACTCAGGTCATGATCTCAGTTTGTGAGTTTGAGCCCCGCATCAGGTTATCTGCTGTCAGCCCAGAGCCCACTTTGGATCCTCTGCCCCCTCTCTTTGCCCCTCCCCTGCTTGCATGCACGCACACTCTTAAAAATAAACAATTTTTAAAAAGTAAATAAATAAAATTAAATACAACTTGTATCACTAGGCCTTCTGAATAATTTTGAGAGAGTCTTGCTGATTGTTTAATTATTGTTTATTATTAATTTAATTAAATTATTAGGTACAATAACGGTGAAAAATTGTGAATTGTGAAAAATTTGATAGTAATTTTTCTGCGTATGTTTTCGGTGGATTCATAAGTATAATTCCTTAACATTCTTTTAGATTGGTCAGTGATAAGTAAATTGTCTTGAAATGGTGGTACCAATGCCACGCCAGCCATAGTGAATTCTGAATTCCTTGTTACAAAAGTGAATAGAGAGGTTTATTCTGAGATTAAGGGCTTTATAGTTTAATTTTTTAAACAAAGAATACTACTGAAGTACCTTTCAAGAACATGGACTTTATTCTTCTGACAGCAGTTGAAATTATTTTGGGAAGCCACAATATCCAGCAACAACAAAGTACAGATATCTTGGTAATTCTCTGTAAATGATACTATAAATGGTGTGGAAATTGATACATGTTTGTCTTAAACACAGTGTAGATGAAAATCACCCCTTACCTTAGCTTCTGAAGACAGTGTTATTTGAGACATCTGTGGAATATTATATGCTGAAGAATGAGCTTTGATATTGGTCTGTTCGAACAATGAATGTCTTTTTTTTTTTTTTTTTTACATTTATTTATTTTGAGAGAGAAAGAGAAGAGAGAACGTATGAGGGGGAAGAGGGGCAGAGAGAGAGGAGTGAGAGAATCCAAAGCAGGCCCTGCACTGTCAGAGCAGAGCCCAACAAGGGGCTTGAACTCACAGACTGTGAGGTCATGACCTGAGCCGAAATTAAGAGTCAGACGCTTAACTGACTGAGCCACCCAGGTGCCCCTGAGTATGTTTTGTGTATGGATTTTTTTCCTGTGTTTTGTTTTCATGGCCTTTTACACATATACACATAGTCTCACATATGTCAAATTACTTGTTAATAGCAAAGGGGAAAAATAGTAACTTCAAATTGGAGAAACCTGGTGGATCACCTTGACCAAATGATCAAAGTTAACATCACCAATTGGCATCATGTACTTCCTAATCAGATACACTGAGAAGGATCCAACTTCATTTTCTGTGATATTCTTGGCAAGAATGCGTAAGCTGAGTCTAATTGTGGTAAAACACCAAACAAACCCAAATTGAGGGATAGTCTACAAAGCAAGTGACCTATATTCTTAAAAACATCAAGATCAAGAAAGGCAATGACTGAGGAATGTTTGAGATTAAAGGAGACTTAAAGACATAACTACATATGTAACATATGATTCTGGACAGAAGGAAAAAAGTATATAAAGTACATTACTGGACAGTTGGAATTTGAATATAAACTGTGGAATTTTAACTTTCCTGATTTTGATAATTGCACTGTGATTATGTAAGACATTATACAGGAGCATGATGCTTCCAAATTATTCTCAACTGTGAGGGGAAAAAAGTTGTGTATGTATGCATGCACATGTGTATATAGAGAAAAGATGATAAATCATATGGGACAGAATATAAACATGATGAATTTGAATAAACGTTATGTGGAACTTTCTTGTGCTGTTATTAGAACTATTTTGTAAATTTGAAATTATAATAAAAGTTACAAAAGTGTAACAGTTAGTATTAAACACTTTTAACCCAGTTCACTATCATAGTTTATGTTTCTATGCTCCCTTTTAGAACAGCTTTTAAGTATGCTTAATAACGCCTACTAACTCTGGGATCCTTTAGATTCCAGAATATCTTGCATTAGGCTTAAAAAGCAACTGGTTTTGACATCAGTAGGAGACCAAGGACAATTTCAGAGTTTAGGTAATTTGGTAGGAAAATGAAATAACTTTGCATTTCTACCTTAATAGTATGGTTTCAGAATGATTTTTGAAGATCTGTACATTTAAAAAATACCAGACACAGCCATGTTCAAATGAAGACATTCCCCCAAACTGTTGCCAAATAGACATTTTAAAAAGTATATTATTCTTTTGTGTATAAATTAGAGAATACCTCTAATTACTGCCTGGCTTGTGAATCAGCTGGAAGTTACGCTTGTTTTATTTGTGGTTCAAACCTAAAATTCAACTTGTTAGTGTATGTGGAGCCTGTAAGTACTATTTTGTTTTTCCTTTAAGAAGTATTTTTCTGACTTTGAAGGTATTTTTTGTCTATTGTAAAAGAACAACAAAAATCTTGAAAAATACAAAGAAGAAAACAAAATTACTCATACATTCCAGAAGTAACTGCTGTTAAGAGTATTTCTTTTGTGTAGTTTAAAAACTATAATTGGCATTATGCTTGTATACAATTTGACCATGCTTCCTTCATGTAACATATCATGCACATCTTCCCACATCATTAAAAATTCTTTGATCTTATTATTTTTAAACTTTAATAATATTCCATCATATGATGTACCACAATTTGTTTAATTATTCTTTCTCTGAGATATTAATTTGAAGGCAAGTTACTAACTCATTCTGGTTACATATACAGAAGATATAGAAAAGTGACTATTTTAGTTAATATAGTTTTCAAACAGAAGTAATTGGACCTCTGCTTTTATTGGCCTTTGATTACTATATCTTTTGAGAAGCATTACTTAAAAAGCTTTTTTAGGAGTCATGTTAATATTTTTTATAGTAAAGAATACATCTGGAAGTATGCTTTTTATGTGTTAGCTAGACCTTAAATGTTTGGAAAAAAATTTTCGTAATATGTATGTACTTTACAGATATTTTGTCAATTCACATTAAAAATTTATAAAATTAAGGTCTCCATTTGGCAGATGTGAATTTAGGGATTTAAAGACTATATATTGTACTTCAAAAATATGTAAGATAAATCATACTCAAAATTTAAATCTTTAGAAATTCTGTTTTTAGGGTGAGTAGCAGATTCAGGAGCAATAATCATGGCTTTTAAGGTTAGGAATTATAACAATATATTTTTGGTTATGAAGAGCTGAAAATGAGCTTTTAAGTAAATTCTTGGAATTAGTGACTACCTTACATTAAAGTGCTATTGTGTAGAATTGTTTAACTATTTGACTAGAAAATGCATTTGAATAGTTGAAAGTTTTCCCTTTTTTTGATTTGAGTATAGTTCTCCAGCTTATAAAGGATTCCTTCCTAACAAAGCAGGTGCTTACAAGTGTATGTATAAGTGATTGTATAAATTCTACCTTTTCTAGTGCTATAACGTCATCATAATCTAGGTGTGTGGTGGTGTTTCAAACTTTAGAAATGAATACCTGAAAGATTTATATATTGCATTCATCTGGAAGGAATCTATTAGTAAGCCCACTCAAAGGATTGTTAACATCTTTTATAATTTCATGTTTTGGCAGGTAAACCTAGCCTTTAAGCAACCTGGAAAGAGGCTAGAGCACCAAGGAATTAGAATTGAATTTGTAGGTCAAATTGGTGAGTTTTAAAATAGTATTACTTTTTGTTTTTTTAATGATAACTGAGTTTGAAGAGGGTTGGATCTGGCACTTAAATACTTGAATTAGAGTTTAGCTTTGTAGAAGGAAGGAATCGATTTTGCATAATAAAAGAAGATTTATAAACATTAAAACAGGTTTCTTTGAATTGTATTAAATGATATTTGACTCAACCTGCCTTTGTTTGTTATTAAACTTAATTACTAAAAATGAAAGGAGTTATGTAAGCTACCCGCCTTGAAAAATAATTCAAGTAAAATGAGTTGACTCACTGAAATTTCCATCTGCCTACATCTTTCACCAGGTTTACAATTATCAGTGTCATCTTCATCCTTCACTTTCTAATTACCCGTGCCATTTGTCTTCTTAACCTAATGTGTGCCAGTAGCCAGTCTCACCTGTCAGAAGATTCCATGTGGAAAGGAGGGGTGTAATTTCTTCTTGACTTATATCAGCTTTCATAAATATTTCCATATATGTATTTGAGAAGCATTCTTGATTTAGTAGAAGCTAAACTGTATGAATCTTTTGCTACTGCAGATTCAGAATAGAGAAAAGAAAATGGGTCTTTCTAATACAGTATACATAGCTAGGTTTTAAATCTAGCTTTCTAAGTCTTACTGTACATTTTTAAAGTATCAAAATTGGAATGGGTAGATACTGTTTACATATATATTCCAGATGAGATTATACTTGAGGGGGCAAATTTTAGTAATTCACTAATAGTTGATAAGTTTTTATGTTTGTATATTATTTTATCAAGGTAATATATTTGCCTAACTAAAGCAAAACAACAAATGCTTTTTGCCTTGAAGGGAGGAAGTTCAAATAATTGCTGGAAGTGTGTCTGTTAAAACAGCTTCATATTGGGCAAACTCTAACTACATTAAAGGAATGAATATGTTTTTAATAATAGGAATTTTCATTGTGCTGTGCTGCTTGAATTTTTTTATGCCTAGGTGGAGCATAATGAGGGGAATAATGGAATTTATATCAGAGCTCTAGTGTGTTAGAGACAAATCCAATTGATTAGTTTGGTAAAAGTGATTTGCTTTAGAGGTAGAAGTTTGAGTTTTAATGAAATAGGTATTAAATGTAATTGGGTTTTTTTTTTCTTTTTTTTGCTTTTTGAAATTTCTTAGAACTTTTCAATGACAAGAGTAACACTCACGAATTTGTAAACCTAGTGAAAGAACTAGCCTTGCCTGGAGAATTGACTCAGAGCAGAAGTTATGATTTTGAATTTATGCAAGTTGAAAAGCCATATGAATCTTACATCGGTGCCAATGTCCGCTTGAGGTATGAATGTGTATCAGTGACTGTAGATGGTATCAAAACCAGAAGGTAATGGCTACTGTTGAATGACTTATTAAAACTTCTATTTATAATTCTGGACTGAAAGCCTTCAGAGTTTTAGGAATTCTGCCAAATATTTTGTTTTGTCTAGCTAATGCTCATCTGAGGTAACAATAGCCTTCTATCATAGATTTAGAGAACCCCATCATGAGAAGTTTGTTTTAGTCATATACTTCCTTTGTATGAATCATCCCCTAGGTACTTCCTTTGTCTTATAAACAGAATTACCTCAAAATCTATTAGTTTCCCAACAAATCTCATTTAGTATATGGGTAAGAAGTGATCAAGAGAGATTTCCCCAAGTAGGTGTGACCATAGATAACACTTCAAATGCATTTAAAAAAGTAGGTACACTATTCTTAAAATTGTTCTTTGTATTTTTTTGATGGTGGGGGCATTTAAAAATTAGAACTTGTAAATGAAGTAAGTTGACCTCCAAGGATCAGCAAGGAGGAAAGCTGAGTTACAGTTAATGTTTGCTTATTTAAGACACTGAAATTTATTTTTATTTTTTTTTACTGCTTTTTTTTTTTTTTTATAAATAGTTTATTGTCAAATTAGTTTCCACATAACACCCAGTGCTCATCCCCACTAGTGCCCTCCTCCATGCCCACCCCCCCTCCCCCCCACATCCATCAGTCCTCAGTTTTTGTCAGCATTCAAGAGTCTCTCATGGTTTGCCTCTCTCCCTTTCCCCCACCATTTCCCCCCTTCTTCTCCCCCTTGTTCCTCAGTTAAGTTCCTCCTAATCCTCCTATACGTGCAAACATATGATATTTGTCCTTTTCTGCCTGACTTATTTCGCTCAGCATAACACCCTCAAGGTCCATCCATGTTGCTACACATGGCCAGATTTCATTGTTTCTCATTGCCATGTAGTATTCCATGGTATAGATAAACCACATCTTCTTGATCCATTCGTCCGTTGATGGACACTTAGGTTCTTTCCATGTTTTAGCTGTTGTCGAGAGTGCTGCTATGAACATTGGGGTACATGTGCTCCTATGCATCAGCATTTCTGTATCCCTTGGGTAAATTCCTAGCAGTGCTATTGCTGGGTCATAGGGTAGTTCTATTGTTAGTTTCCTGAGGAACCTCCACACTGTTTTCCAGAGGGCCTGTACCAGTTTACATTCCCACCAACAGTGTAGGAGGGTGCCCATTTCTCCACATCCTCGCCAGCATCTCGAGTTCTCTGATGTGCTCATTTTAGCCACTCTGACTGGTGTGAGGTGGTATCTCAGTGTGGTTTTGATTTGTATTTCCCTGATGAGGAGGGATGCTGAGCATCGTTTCATGTGAAGACACTGAAATTTATAGTAGGAGTTTTAACTTGCCCTCTCCGTTAACTTTGTAGGTATTTTCTTAAAGTAACAATAGTAAGAAGACTCACAGACTTGGTAAAAGAATATGACCTTATTGTTCACCAGCTTGCCACATACCCTGATGTTAACAACTCTATTAAGATGGAAGTGGGCATTGAAGACTGTCTACACATAGAATTTGAATATAATAAATCAAAGTAAGTACCTTTAACAACAGATAACTTAAATGTTCAGGGAAAATTAATAAAATGTTGTATTTTTACAGAAATGGACTCCTGTTTTATTGTTTAATGCCCTTTGAAACTTTATTAAGGAACAATTCAAGCATAGACCAAAGCCAATGAACAGTATGGTAAATCCTCAGGAACCCACTGCCCAGTGCCAGCAGTCATGAACACATGGTCAGGTCTATTTTATTTGTATCCAGCTCTCACGCTCCCCATAGATTATATTGAAGCTAATTCCAGACATGGAACTTCATCCATAAAAATTATGAATCATTTTTAATAGAACTGTAATACTGTTATATCTAAAATATTATTAGTTTCCTAATATCCATGCATATCCAGTCAGTGTTCACATTCCTCTGGTTGTCTCATAAAAATATTTCTCACCACATGGTTTGTTCAAATAAGTATCCACACAAGATATGTTCAAATCCAGTGCATCCAAACACATTGCATTTGGTGGTTTTACTCTTAGATTTCTTTTAATTTCTGGGGTTTTTTACACTAAAGTTTATTTGTTGAAGAAATGGATGTATACTTTTATCTCCTTCCTATGTATTCTTCTGTTAAATGGCTTTTGTTAGTTGTCACTCCCCAGTGTATGTCACTAAAAATGTGATATAAATATGCCTTCAGGGTCTTGAATCGTATTATTAATAAAATTATCAAATTGTTTAGGACCTATAAGCTTGTCACTGGAAGCCTCCCTTCAGGCTGACATAATTACACTGATCAACTCCTGAGAAATTATTTTGATCCAGGCTTGAGAGAAGGTTAAGAAGCCCTCTGGGTATTGTAGTAATTTCCAGATTTATTACATCACTTCAGTATCACTTCAGAGTCCTTGGGAAAGGTCTTTGATGACTAGATATCACAGCAACAAACTCAACCAGTGGAGTCTGTCTTTGTAGACAAGTTGTTTGTTAGCTGCACTATTCTGGCACTTAGAGTAATGACACTAAACTCTTATGTAGGGTTTTGGTGTTCAGAAACATCATTATACACCAATTAAATATTACAAGCCTGAAAATGTTAATTTTTTGTGCTTAAGTTCTTTGGAAACTAACCTCTCGGTAAAGGACCTGCGGTTAATCAGACTAATTCTTCCTTTGAGGTATATTGATGGTCAAGTAAAAGCTTGATTCCCTTTTTTTTTGGTGTTTATTTTTTGAGAGACAGATGTGAGTGGGGGAGGGGCAGAGATAGAGGAAATTAGAATTGGAAGCAGCCTCCAGTCTCTGAGCTGACAGCACAGAGCCCAGCACAGAGCCCAGCTGAAATAGTTACTGTCCTAAAGATGTCTACTAAAGCCTTTCAGGACATATTTCACTCTTTTTGTTTATTTTTTAAACTGATATGTAGTAAATGTGGTTTATTCTTTTTCCAAAGGTATCATTTAAAGGATGTGATTGTCGGGAAAATTTACTTTTTATTAGTAAGAATAAAAATCCAACATATGGAGTTGCAACTGATCAAAAAAGAGATCACAGGAATTGGTAAGTCAAAAGGAATATTTGAATTAAAATTCCTGTTTTAGTTGAAATTTTAAAAAATCTCAAAATATTGTTTAAACACAGTAAATACACATATTGGATACAAATTTTGATACTTAATTTTTATGCTTCATATTTATGCTTTTTAGAAATTAATTTTTATAAATATTTTTGAAAGCATCAAAATTAGCAGGTTATAAATTCACATGTTTCAAAACTAGAGTGTAAAAGACTATACAATAAAAAGTGTCCTGTTTGTGTATTTCAGCTACTCATAGGTCATATGTTTATAAATTTTAAAATGCTTCTAGGTATTTCTACATATACAATAAGTGCCTCTATATTATACCCTCTCCCTGCTTTTAGTTAAATGTTTATGTACAACACATACTTTGCTTTTTCACTTAACAGTATATTTTAGAGATCTTTCTATATCACTGAATAGAATATTTCCTCATCTTCTTTATCCTTTCTATGGATATATAAAATTTAAGGAGTCTGCTACAGGTTGTTTCCAGTCATTTACTTAATGACTTAATGTCTTAATGTCTTAAATGACTTAATGTCATTTTGCACGTGTGCAAGATAATCTTAAAAGTAGAATTGTTATTTCAAAGGGAATATTCATTGTGATTTTGGTACATATTATCAGTTTGTTGTCTTTAAGTGTTGTACTATCAGCAAGGAATATAGAAGAGTGCCTCTTTTTCCTTCTGTTCTTACCAACACAACATTATAAAGTGTTTAGCTGATATGATCAGGTCAGGGAAGAAGGTTCCCCATTGTAGTTTTAGTTTTCTCATTCTGAATAAGGGTGAGCATCTTCTCCTGTGTATAAAAGCTATTTCTTTTCTGTATATACTGCCTGTCTATATCCTTTGCTCCATCTCTGTTATTATTAGTCTTTTCGTACTGATTTGTAGAAACTATTAGGGAAATCAGCTCTTTTTTTCTGTATTAAAAACAGCAAAACTTTTCCCAGCTTGTTTTGCTTATGACAGTTTTTGCCATGTAGAAGTTTTTGATGTTTGTGTAGTCAGGGCTTTTTTCACACTGAGGTTCTAAAAATAATTTTCTGTGCTTGATTCTCCTAAAATAATATAGTTTGGGAATTTTGTTTAAAATTTTTAATTTCTTTGGAATTTGCCTTGATTTAAGATATAAGGTATGGCTCCAACTTTAGTTTTTTTCCAGATGGCTGACCAGTTGCCCCAGAATTATTTATAACTGCTTTTTAATTTTAATTCGTGTATAGATTTAATTTATCTCCTTTATTGGATTTTTGCTGAAAATAATTTTAGGCAACACTTGTTTTTGTAAGTTTATTTATTTATTTTGAGAGAGCGAGTGTGCAGGAAGGAGAGAGGCAGAGAAAGGGAGAGCGAGAACCCCAAGCAGGCTCTGTGCTGACAGCACAGAACCCCATATGGGGCTCCATTCCCATGAACTGTGAGATCATGACCTGAGCTGAAATCTAGAGTCAGATGCTTATTCACCTGAGCCACCCAGGTGCCCCTACGCAACACTTTTTAAGAATTTATAATTGTAGTCATAATTAGAAACATCTGTGATTTCTTAATGTCCATTTTCACCTGCTAACAGAAGTTTAAGTGATTTAAAGATATTAAAATCAAACGTTGTGTTCCTTCTTATTTCAAAAGAAATTATTTACATATTTTTTCTGGTTATAAAAATTGTGTCTGATTCTATAAAAGTTTAAATAAAAAGTAATCTGTACTCATTATTTGGAAGAGTGTAGCCTTTGCATACTATGGGTATTATAGAACAGTGGGATGATTAGTATATGCTTTGGTACACTTTTTTCACTTATCGTATCACTGACTTTTTAAAAACGTCTGGGATCAAATAATGTCTTAGAAGATGAATACCCAAATTTAAAAGAACTATGTCAAGTACTGTTTGATGTTTTCTCTATGTTATGAAAGAAAACAGTTTGGATGTTGCAGAGAAAACTAGCATGTCAGTGGTTATTTCTGATGTGTATTGTTTCTATTTTGCTAGATACTAGAAATGATCAAAGGAACTCTATGAAGAATATTTTTACTGAACTATATATTTGGGAAGAAGGGATTGAATCATTCAGTTAAGTGATAAGTAGATTAAATGTACATTGAGAAATAGAAAAGAATGATCAACATTTTCACAAAATGGGAAGATAAATTAGTACTCAAATAATGTAGTTGGAAAATAAGAAACTATAAGGCTGGAAATTATATTCTGGAAATATTTAACGTAATGTCATTTACATTATTGTGCTAGGACCCAGTACCACCACAGAAACAGAAACAATTGCTAAGTATGAAATAATGGATGGTGCACCAGTAAAAGGTAAGATAACATACTTTCCATTTACTACTTTTTGTGGTAGGTAGTGCAGATAGTGTTCATGGAAGTGTAGTTTGAAAGTATTTGGTTTGAAAGTTTTTAGTGTAGAAGTATTTGTGAGTTCTTAAAACGATTCTTAAAATACTGTTTTTAAGATCATCTTTGTATAGATACTGAATGACTGTAATGGTATTTCCTAGTCCAAAATAAGGTTTAGTTTTTCACTAAGTTTAAAATTAGTATTTAGAAGAGACATTTATATATTCTCTAGGTCTGAATTTGTAATATTTTGATTGTCTTCTGTTATAATAGTTTATGTCTTTTTTACTCACTAAATATAAGGTACAGTATAACTGAGCGTTAATTTCTGTGGGATTTTCTGTGGGACTTTGTAGTTCTTACACTGGCCAAGAAAATTAGCAGTTCCATTATTATCTCCAGTATCCAAGATAATGAAGTCAGTATTTATCTCTTTTTTTTTTTTTTTAAATTTTTTACTTCTTAAAGTAATCTCTACACCCAACGTGGGGTTTGAACTTAACCAGCTCCCAAGATCAAGAGTCACATGTTCCACCAACTGAGCCAGCCAGGTGCCCCAGGATTTATAATTTTAAATTTATGTCTTTGGGTTTTTCTCACTGTTAGTAATTACTTCATAAAGTAGCTATCATTTACTGAGTGCCAACTATAGATGAGGCATGATGCTCTGAGGTGCTCTAATGTTAGGTGATGGTATCCCTTATTCTACATGTGAAACTGAGATGCAGATTGGTTAAAAAACTTGTTAAAGATGATGTAGCGAAAGCAGAACTTTACCTCTACCTGTTTTAGATTTTCAGCTGGGACTCTTTAACAGAGACACAGATAAATAAAGAAAAAAAACAGTTTACTAATGGATGCAGTGAACATCACAAAAGAGAAACCTCAACTAAAAGTAGCTCAAAACAGTGGCAGGACACCTGGGTGGCTTAGTTGGTTGGCTCAGGTCGTGATCTCGTGGTTCATGAGTTCAGGCCCTGCGTTGGGCTCTGTACTGACAGCTTGGAGCCTGGAGCCTGCTTCAGATCTGTCTCCCTTTCTCTGCCCCTCCCCTGTTTGCACTCTGACTCACTGTCCTTCAAAAATAAAATAAACATCAAAAAAAAATTTTTTTTAACAGTGGCTTAAAATTTCAGGTTATGTAGTATCTTCAAAAGGACAATAAATTTGGGGCGCCTGGGTGGCTCAGTCAGTTAAGCATCCGACTTCGGCTCAGGGCATGATCTCACGGTTCGTGGGTTCGAGCCTCACGTCGGGCTCTGTGCTGACAGCTCAGAACCTGGAGCCTGCTTCAGATTCTGTGTCTCCCTCTCTCTCTGACCCTCCCTTGCTCACACTGTCTCTCCCTCTCTCCCAGAAATAAGTAAAACATTAAAAAAAAAAAACAATAAATTTGGAGAGGTGACTGGACAAAGGAAAGTAGAGCAGTTTTAGGCTTCCAAGGGTAAGGCAAACTGGGGGAAGGTAAATATATGGGTGGAAACTAATGGAATAAGGTTTGTTTGTGGATTCTTCAGCCATCTTCATTGAAAGGAGAATTTATATCCTGCCTTTAGGCAGAAAATGGGGAGCCTCTTCTGCTTTTTGTGGCTTCTAAATTGCCTGAAGCTCAAAATCATGTTTATGTTAAAGAGGTAGATTCTGTGGTAGCATAATTTGGTTTCCTTCAATCTCTAAGTATTGCAGAGTTGGAGTTCGAGCCCAGGCCTTTGTTGCTTCAAAACCTATATGTATGCACTCCTGTAATGCAACATTACTTTGTAAAATTTCAGCAGCCACACATTTTTATGTAAAGTAGTAGATCATATATCTTTCAGGAAATAGATGTGCACAAGAAAAGTATTACATAAAAAAGACTTAACAGAATATGCACATAGTTACACTTAGGAAAGGAGAAGCCTTGAGAATCTGAATAGCAGTCTTTTTGGTGATGAAGGACTAATCCTCATTCTGAACACATTTGTTGTTTTGGATGAATTAGTTAATCCATATTAAAGAAATTATACACATAGTGAGAAATTATGGTAAGCTTCATGAAAGAATATCAAAACTACTCAAGTAGCACTTATGTGCTGGCACCATTCTGAGCATTTTACGTATATTAACTCATGTGGTCCTTACAGAGTCTCTGCAAGATGGGTATTACTGGTGTTCTACATTTCACAGATGAGGAACCTGAAGCAGAAGGGTTAGGTGACTTGGCCAGTGTCCCACAGCCAGGAAGTTGTAGAGCTGGTGTCTGAATCCAGGCATTCTACTTCTAGAGCAGTGTTTCTCATCTAGGGTCGTTTTGCTTCCATCCCCCCACCCCCCCCACCCCGCCCCAGGGCATTTGCTGTTGCCTGGAGTTATTTTTGATTGTCACACTTGGGGAATGCCACTGACATCTAGTGAGTAGATGCGGGATGCTGCTTAGCCTCCTACAGCGCACAGGCCCTTACCCACAACAGAGGATAATCAGGCCCAAAATGTCAGCAGTGCCAAGGCTGAAAAACCCTGGTTTAAAGTTTTCTGTTATGCCGTCATCTCATGGAGAGCTAAAGTGTTAGTGTGTTCTTTGTAATGCTCTTTAGAATTAAATGGAAATGTTTTTTCTTTCAGGTGAATCAATTCCAATAAGATTATTTTTAGCAGGATATGACCCAACTCCGACAATGAGAGATGTGAACAAAAAGTTTTCAGTAAGGTACTTTTTGAATCTAGTCCTTGTTGATGAAGAAGACAGAAGGTACTTCAAGCAGCAGGTATGGTGCCACCCATCCTGGCGTTTTGTTCTCTGGCTATTCTAAAAGCACCTGGAAAGCACTCACTTTTCTATGCTTTATAGTACTGAGCAAGTGGGGGTTTCTGTGAGTTTGATAAGGAAGTAGGTGTGAATGGAATAGTGTTGGGAGAGCTCTCTTCCCTGTTACTCTGCAGGACCCCAGAATGGGCTCTAATTTGGCAGTGTTTTTATTTTTCTTTTGAAAATTTTGTATTTTTTTATAAAAATAATACCTACTGTTAGGGAAAAAAAAATCAGGCAGTAAAGAACAGAATTAAGTAAAGGTCAACAAAAATTCCACCACCATTGTGATTAGTTTTCCAAACAAATTTGTATATGTGTATTTAGATCATATTACGTGTGTTTCCTTTAATTTGGTTTTTCACTGAATAGTGTCTTGAATATCTTTCCTTTATCAACAGATGTAGATTTCCATTATCACTTTGATGATTGTATTAACTTGATGGATTCTGGGTTTCCATTTTGTTGTAAATGTACCTGAGATGACCCAAATCTAATAATTTTTTTTATATAAAATGTTTATCATAAAACTTGTTCTCATTTGAAGATCAATTAAAATCTTTGGTGAATTTGCAGTGAAGATTGTGATTGGAAAGGTCTTTTGTATTCTGAATCAGATTAATAAATATTTGAGTGTCAGTTGAGTATTCAGAACTAAATTAGAAATAATTCTGTCCTGGGGCACCTGGGTGGCTCAGTCAGTTAAACTTCTGACTCTTGATTTTCGCTGAGGTCATAGTCTCTCAGTTCGTGGGATCGAGCTCCATGTTGGGCTCTGTGCTGCCAGCATGGAGCCTGCTTGGGATTCTCTCTCTCTCTCTGTCCCTCCCCACCTTGCACACTTGTGCACATGTGTATTCTCTCAAAATAAAAAGAAAAAAATTATTCTGTGCTGAGTATTGTAAAGAATACAAAAACTACTTTTTGTATACATACTTTGTCCTCAGAGTCCTCACAGTGCATATGTGCAGAAAAAGAAGAATTATATAAGTTAATTTTAAACATTTTTTTAACGTTTGTTTGTTTGTTTTGAGAGAGAGACAGTGTGAGCAGGGGAAGGACAGAGAGAGAATCCCAAACAAGCTCCACACGGTCTGTGTAGAGCCCGACGTTGGGCTCAAACTCAAGAAACTATGAGATCATGACCTGAGCTGAAACCAAGAGTTTGTGTTTAACCAACTAAGCCACCCAGGTGCCCCTACGTTAAGTAACAGAAAACTTAAATAATAGTTTGACAATAATTTAGAAGAGAGAAGACCTTTGCATTGATACTGCCATAATGCTGTATAATTAAACATAGGTAATTTGTAACTCAAGATGGATTATATAAACTTTACAGTTTCCAAATCTGCTACATATTGTAGCCCTATGGAATAAGTACATTGCTTCCCATGGGCATTCACTTAGATGTTTGGTAACCAACATAACAGCCTGTCATGATTCTATGAAGCAAATAATTTTGGGATTTTTTTGAATTTAAGGCATTTAAAAGAGATATCAGGATGGGTTGGTTAGAGAGGAATGAGTATTTGAAAAATATGTGGGAGAAGCTGTAGGGCAAGTTTATTTGGAGTGCGTGGGAGCAGAGTTAACTCAGTATGGCTGGTGGGGGAAAGGAGTAATGTTGCAAATTGAATAAAGGTTATGAAGGATCTTGAATGCTGGTTGGAAACTGATCCTGGAGGTGCTGAGAACTCCTGAAGTGCAATCCAAGCAGTGTTTTAGATGAATCTGGTCGTGATTGGAAGGGTGAGCTAGAAAGGGGCCTCAGGCACTGGAGGCAGAGCCATCTACCCAGAAGCTCTTTTAAGTGTCTAAGTGAAGTGACAAGGTTTGAACTTGGATAAAGGCAAGTGATAGCAAACCAAAGGACATATTTTATGAATTCTTTAAAGCAGGAATAGCTAGAACTTTGTGCTCTTGGGGCTCTGGATTGGTGGTGGTGGTGTGCATAGGTGCTGGTGGTGGTGGGGAGGGTCGGCAGAAGGGGTGGTCCGAGATTAGAATCAGAAGAAAGTAGGTCATTGAGAACAGCTTATGTTGGGAAAAAAATTAATTTTGTTATAGTTAAAATTGAAATGGCATTATTTCCATTGTGAAAATTTAAGGCGTAATATGAGAATATTAATTTGTTGATGTCTTGTGTTTGTTTTACTAGGAGATCATTTTATGGAGAAAAGCTCCTGAAAAATTGAGGAAACAGAGAACAAACTTTCACCAGCGATTTGAATCACCAGACTCCCAGGCATCTGCTGAACAGCCTGAAATGTGAACTGAACAGGAGAAAAAAAGAAAAACAAAAACTCCTATATCCATTGAGATTAAGTTCAGCAGGTTAAAGATGGTTGCAGCTTGTAGGGTGGGGAAAGGCCAAAACTCCATTTATAATAGTCTTCCTTTCTCTTACAGCGCTGCACTTATTTTATGATACAACTAAATGTTCTTCATGTGTATACATTAAAAACAGCGCTTTCTTTGAAACACTGGAACTTTCTTAAGCTGCCATTTTTTTCTTTTTTTTTTTTACTGCACACTTTGATTTAATGATAAGCACTCAGATATGTATCAACATAAACATTAAAGATTTTCACATGAGTAGGCTGGTATTTGTAATTTTGCTTTCTTCGTAATGTTGATTATAAATACTTTTCTCCTTTTTCATGCTAATAATTACCTCTTATTCTCTACATGCAAAAAATTAAATATTTTGTGTTTAAATAAAAATAGAAAAATGTGGACCTTACATCCTGCAGAGATTTAAAACACGGCATCTCAATATTTTTGAAAACTACATTTATGTTTCTACATGCGTGTTTGGAAAATGAACATGGAGTGTTTCACTGTAGGTGTTTCTTAGTCTATTATTCCGTGGCTTCCTGAATTGTATCCTCTTTGAAGCCTTCTGTGGTGTGAATGTTAAACTTACTTCCCAAGAGATTATGTGGCATCTCCCCGTAGCCTGCTTGCCTGCACTCTCCTTCCTTCCTTCTCTTTCTTTTAGTGCCCGCCCTCCCTCCTTTCCTTCCTACCTTCCTCTCTGTTCGTCTCCCCCCTTCTCCCCATCCCCTGCCTTCCTCCCTACCTTCTTCCTCTCCCCTCGCTTTCTTTTTTTTTCTTTTTCTTTTTTGCCATATTAAGTAACTGTTTGTGCCTCTGCCATCCAGCAGGTACCACTGTGTATGTTTTCTGCAGTGTTGAATGGACTCGATGTTGGCATTTTAAAATTTGTTAGAACTATATAGTTTTTCCACAAATACTTTGAATTTTTTTTTTTTTAATTTAAGGCATCTTTTTGCCACATATATACAAATAGAATATTCTTGCCTTCACAAATATTCTCTTCCCCTGCTAGGGGAAAATTTGAGGATCAGGAACTCAGGAGGACCTGTGAACCATGTAGTTATCTAGATCTGGACAATTTCATATTTGGTAAACTGGAACTTCGGCTAGTTCACACTCCGATTTAAACTTCACCCACTCTGTTTAAATTTTGGTAACACTAAATTCAAGTCATTAGTTCAAAGTCTCCAAAAAGAAGGTTTCAGTCATCTGTTCATATACATGGGGTCTGATCTCAGCTACACTAAACGTGGGATGTAGGAACTAAAATGAAGCCTGCTGCGTGAAACTACTTTCACTTAGGGTTCACTGGGTTTTGTACCAATATTTTTTTATACACTTGAGCGCAAATCTTGTCAGTTAACCTTACTTTATGAGTAAGCCTATAAGTAACCTAAATTACATTTCTTTAAACCTGTTTACTACTGTGGCACTTTGATAAAACGGTCAGTAACCAACTTCTTTACTGGCAAAACGTTCCATGTACCATGTGCTGGAGCATCTGTTTTAAATGTGGCTATCTGTGAATGGTAATGTTTTCCTTCATGTAAGTGCCTGTTCAGAGTTTCAGAATTTAAAAATGCCATATATTTTCATGGTCACTTGCATGTAGTAATTAGGAAGTACTCAAAGAAATTTTGAAAACCAATTGTATTTAACCAGCCTCAAATTGTGCAACCATGATGTATAATAAAGTATTTGAAATGGTAACAGAACTTGCTATTTGAATCATTAAAAGAGTTCTACTCTCAAACCTCATTATCAGATTTATCATTGAAGACAGGATTGCTCATAGTTTAGGAAGCTATAATAGTGACAAGTTTTTATAAATTTTGTCAGTTTCAATATCAAATAATTATATATAATGCTTTTAATTAGGTGGCTTACAACACTGTTATAAATAGGATGCTTATTCACTTTGCTTGAAACTTTGTTGCATAACCAATTTGAAGAATTAACATTTGAAATTGGTATTTAGTGAACTGAGTAAAAACCTAGCCAATGAGAAATAAACTGTAAAGGAAATTTGTGTCTTTAGTAAAAAGTACAGGGGCACCCGGCAGGCTCGGTGAGTAGAGTGTGTGACTCTTGTCAAGAGTTGTGAGTTGGAGCCCCGTGTTGGGTGTAGAGATTACTTAAAAATTTTTTTAAAAAGTACAGGGGCGCCTGGGTGACTCAGTTTAGTGACCCGACTCCTGATTTCAGCTCAGGTCATGATATCAGGGTAGTGAGATTGAGTACCGTATCTGGCTCCATGCTGAGGGTGGAGTCTGCTTAAGATTCTCCCCCCCCCGCCATCCCCCACTTACACTCTCTCTAAAGTAAATAAGTAAAGTATAATATCTATACAATATCTAGTACAGTGGTTCTCAACCTTGGCTGCAGGTTCAAATCACTTTAGTTTTTTAAAATAACCATGCCAGGTCCTACCCAGGGCCAGGATATCAGCATTGAAAAACCTATCCGGGGTTGAGAACCACTGTCTAAGCCATGTCAATAGTTGTTTCCCTCGCTAGTGAAGAATTTTATTTTGTAGCTTTGAACTTTTTAAAGCATAATGTAAAAAAAAAAATACGAGTGTCAAAGCTGAATCATTTTGAATTTCTGATAGCAAGAACCTCATGAATTAAAAGTTACATCCGTTTTTAGAAAAACTAGAATTTTAACAATTCTTAAACAGCCCTTCTGATTAGGCAGTCATGTTCAGTTTACACACTCTAACAAGTTTTGTTTCAAGAATTATTGGTAAATTATCTACTTTCCCTACTCACACATTCCCTATCTATTTTACCATGCAATTCTCAATTCTAAAGATCAAAAAGCAACAATTTGTCACATTCATAGTTTTTCAGTTACACATAAACATGGATGTGTTAACATCTAAAAGATGTTAATTCTAAACAAAAAGTACCTAAACTAAGGTTTTTGCAGTTTGTAAAATCAGCGCCCTGGGCTTTTAAAGAAACCACAGTGACAAATTCTAGGAATCCAACATTACAATTTCCTTTAAATGCGATCATTACATTAAAAACTAGAGGGGCGCCTGGGTGGCTCAGTCAGTTAAGCGTCTGACTGGCTCAGGCTTCAGGCCTCGCATCAGGTTCTGTGCTGACAGCTGGGAGCCTGGAGCCTGCTTTGAACTCTGTGTCTCCCTCTCTGCCCCTCCACTGCTCATGCTCTGTCTCTGTCTCAAACTATTAAAAAAGTAAAAAAACAAAAACTAGAACACTTGGGGTGCCTGGGTGGCTCAGTCGGTTGGGTGTCCAAATTTGGCGCAGGCCGTGATCTTGTCCGTGGGTTTGAGCCCCACGTCAGGCTCGGTGCTGACAACTGCTCCAGATTCTGTGTCTTCTCTCTCTCTGCTCCTCCTCTGCTCACACTCTGTCTCTCTCAAAAATAAACATTTAAAAAAAAAAAAAAAAAAAAAAAACTAGAACACTTAACCAATTCTAACTTCGGCTTTTTTGAATTTGAGAAGCAGCTCCCAAAGGAGTTTCCTTATTATTTTGAAATCATAAAAGGGGGAAAAAGGGAAAGTACATAATTAGAAAAAGAACAAGTGGCTGGCAGTGTCTTGAATTGTTGGGGAGGAAAAGCTTTTTGCCTACCCTCTTGGATTCTGTGTTTGGGAACCTGCTGAAAAGATGGACTTAATGAGTATGAAGGAATTCACAAAAATGTGACTTAAAGGGATAGTTAGAATTTGGGGCCTTATAGATCATCTTGATGGGGAAAGGGAGTAAAAAGACACTTATAAACGACTTAACAGAGGAAGTTGGGGGTAGAAAGGACACTTATGGGGAAGCATGTGATTTAAGAAAGATAAATGAGAATTGATGGTAGCTATAATCATTTTGTGACAAAAGTCTGTTTAGGCATCATGCCAGCCATGTCACCACTAGTGATGAGATCATCTTCCCTGGTTGCTCCCTGAGAGGGGATTTATGACAATCAAGTTCTTCTGGGAGGCTTTGATTTTTAGGCAGAGGATTTCAGGAACTCAAATGCCTTCTACTCAAAATGTTTATGCCACAGTGGCATATTCCTGACCCATTCATCGACATGGGGCAAGTAGTTAGAATACTCAAGTCTAAGTACAAAGTGAGTCAGTAAAATCTTTAATTTCACTCCTTTTATATTCAACAGAATCTGTCGAACTTGCATAAAAGCATTCTCCAGGGGCTTAGTCTAGCCTGGATTGGAATGTACCATATCTTAAGTTTCAAACAAAGGCATAATAAGGAAAACATGCCCTCTTACATACATCCTTTTTTTAGGGTTGGGGCCTTCGATGAGCATAATTCTTATGTCACTCCCCTATCAAAAATCTTTTAGTAACTCAGTTGCAGGGGAAAGCTCAAATACTACAAAACAGCGCCAGGAGAATACCTCTCTCCAGCCAGCACCCCACTAGCTTTTACAGCAAGGCTCTCCTGGCCAGTCTTGCCACTGTTTCCATCTCTAAGTCCAAGACCTAGATGTTTCCTTGTTGTGCTGCCAAGGCATACCGTGCACACCTCCAGGACTGTGCTCACCACACTTTTATAAAAGACTTCTGAATTTTATGGGTTTTAAGCCTCTTGGCTCAGTCCTGTTTGGGTGTACTTTGTGCTTATTATAGAATACACACTCAGCATCTGAATACATGAATGAACCTTATTTTCCTAGTGATTATAAAATTAGGTGTCCTCCTTTAGAAAAAAGGTGAGTCTGATGAGGGACAGAAACAGAAAAATGTTCACCATTACCCCGGATGGCTGACCTACAGCCTGCACAGTTTCGATAAGGATCAATTACATGCTGTTTGCTACACTCTGGTCTCATGACTGCCTGTACATCTCACCCAGTTAATATTGAGCTGAATGATGAGCACCAGAGAAATCTTGTGAAAGTAGTTTTCCAAGTAGAAATTTGAAGAAAACATTTATTTTATTATTTTTTATTTTTTTTTTTAACATTTATTTAGAGAGAGAGACAGACCACGAGCAGGGGAGCAGCAGAGGGAGAGGAAGACATAGAATCTGAAGCGGACTCCAGGCTCTGAGCTGTCAGCACAGAGCGAGATCATGACCTGAGACAAAGTCGGATGCTCAACCGACTGAGCCACCCACGTGCCCCAGAAGAAAACATTTATAATCTATGTACGTTCCCTCCTCTGAACACTAAGCATATAATCACCAGCTTCATGTAACAGAAGTGCAGCTCCTTCTGCCTGGGGGGGGGGGGGGCGCTACTTACAGAAGCTCACTAAGCTG